TCGTAAAGTATTAAGGAAGAGACCATTTTGTCATATGAAGGCTCAGGTTGCGCCAGAATCTTTATACGGGGTCGGACGCACATCAAATCGACTCATATACTTTTAATTTGGTACAGTGATGGGCTTTACGTCGTGCCACCCCGGACTAATTGTCACTGTGAAACATTGGAAATTAGTCCACCTAAAGGGTTAATTTTCGTAAAATCCGTTGCGGAAGAAGGGGCTCAAGACACTACTCCATCCAATCCAAAGTTTTCGCATCAACTTGCTATACCAAAACACGTCGGCGTAACAGATTTTGTTATAATATCCCAAAAGTTGCGAAAAGCATACGCGAGCAGATATCATACAGACTGGCGAACACCCAAGCTTAAGTTGCCACAGACGATTATTCTAAATTAATCGGTATGATAAAAAGGGAGACTATGTTCAAGCCATTTGAATGTGACATGCATACGTGGATGGGTTGGGGTAGAAAGACCCACACAAGCAAGTTGGTTTTCAAAACATCCTTGGGAATGAGTTAGCCTCCATTTAAAATTTAAAATTAATTGGTTGACATGAAGAAATTACTTGACGATATGCGGATTTATCGTTAGCGCAAATAGCGTGAAAATGGTTTCGCAATAGCGAATCATCAATAAGAATATTTTAAAACACTGAAACACCGACATTTACAGTGTCCTAGCTTTTTACAAAAAAAAAAAAAAAAAAATTGCCTGCAATTCCTCCAAAGGTGACCTTAGAGTTTTTTATGAAATTTTTTGCAGATAATCTAATTAACTCCATAACAGAAATTACTCTACAATTTAATATACAATGAACATTGCGCTGTTCATATTTAAAATTATATTCCTCTGGCACAAATAAATTCTACTCTAATTAGCGACATCGGATAAAAACTAAAAAATAGACACAAAAACCATTACTATAAATAACAGCATATGTTAAAGCGAATCAAAATGAATCAACCGTTTGCCATGGCGATGTGATATGCTGTGTTTGCGCTAATGAAATGTCAAAAGGAAAAACCAAAACCCACATACAAGATTAATATCTCAAGTTTAAATACTGATAATGGATATTGACATTTGAATACTTATAACAAACATCATAAATAAATTTGAGAGGGAAAAATGTTACTGCACTGAAATAAGAGGAAAGAGATAATAAATTATTCTTAAGTTTCCGTTACAAACCTGGAAAGTTAATAACGTACATTAAAGTATATCCTTAGACCTTATAAAATGTACAGTAAACGGATCTGCAGATGTCTCCTGTTGTTTCTTTCGCAAAAGTATGTTTAGCGTATGCGAAATACAAACTAAAATCCACACCGATGTGGTCTGAGAAAATATATATATTGTCAAACCAGGACAAGCTGCTTTAAGCCTGTATTGGACAACCGCAAGAGTTCAGTCTGAGAAAAACTGAGAGAGTAAATAAATAAACCATAACATTTCGATTCTAAACCACGCGACCGAAGTGCTTCATTGCACAAAATTTCATTGGGTTTTGAAATTTATTTTTAAAGCGAAGTAGTACTACCGATCATTTATAGATTGTATTCATCGAAGTAGCCAGCCGAAAGAAGTCAGATTCGAAGCGTCGGAATGCTATTCGGATAAACGAACATAGTTCGCCGAGTGGGGTTGGAAAGAAACTACTTGTGCCTCGTTTTCTCTCTTTTTCTCTTTCGCTTCTCCTAATTCGCTTCTCCTAGTCCTAGACAAATAGTCCTATTCGTCCACTCTCTCTATTTGTCCCTCTCTCTCTCTCTCTCTCTCTCTCTCTCTCTCTCTCTCTCTCTCTC